ATTTAATTCTTCAGTATATTTAATAAAGGTATTGTAATATTATGTTAAAATAGGAAATCTCTTCTTTGATAAAGTGAATTTGAAAAATTCATATATATTTTTTGAAGTTTATCATATTAATTGTTATTAATTAATAAATTATTTGTTTAATTTACTAACAATTACAGTTTTTCATCAGCTTTTAGTAATTAAATATCATATTAAAAAAAAGGGAATACTTATGATAATTGTAGAAAGATTCACAAAATTAATTTTAATTAATTTATCCTATTTTACTTAATATCTTGTATTTTAACAACACTTTTGGACTATCTGTTAAATAAAGCTGTTCAGAAATTCACCAAAATTTTATTATAATATGCAAAAATAAGAGTTTCCAAAGTATATTTCAGGTACTTTCAAAATCAATTTTACGAAAGAGTAAAAATTTTTTTTTCTACTGAAATAGATTATTAACTATGAACTCAGATATGACGGGCTTAAGCTAGTCCAGCATCTATGAAAAAATAAGATTCTAATTCATTTTTTTTTAAACTTGATAAAAAAATAAAATAAAAATGTCTTTATCACTATATTTTCTTTATCTATGCAAATAAAATTTTAAATATAAAATAGTTACTATAACATTTACACATACTGTTATGAAGACTAAAAAGTATAATGAAAGAAATAATCAATTTTATATCAACAATTGTTTTGATTCTAATATACCAAATATAAATAATAAATTTTATATTAAATTTTTCATTTTCATGACTCAAATATCAACCTTTATTGATCAAATATCCTCCGAATCAACTTTATTAGACAAAGTAATTTGTTGAATAAAGTTAATATTTTCTTGTTGAACGTCTAAAAATAAAACAATAAAGGTCTAGAAAAAGAAATAAATTACTTTAAAGTTTCAGGGGAGAAGTTTATTCATACGAAAACCTTCAATCAGAATAGTAGAGCTCATTAGAGGAGAACGGGCTAACTCACACATACCAAGTTCTGAACTAACAGGTAAATGTTATCCAGATCCTCTACATGGATATAAAATACAGGATAAACTTGGTCTATTTAGAGTTTAAATTTGCTCTTACTAGTTTACATAGGTTTTAATGAGTATGTTCTTTAATTTTTCCGTTCCTGAAGATATTTCACATCCTTTGTCTGTAATGAATTACATTATCATCAATCAAAATTGAAAGATTGCGATTATAATAGGCACAAAATATAGAGTTAAGCCAACTAAAGTAGAGCCACAGGTTTCAAGTCTTTTGAAATATTGAATTCATAAACTTATTAATTTTAGACTTTTAAGATTAAAATAGCATAATGAATAATTATTAAATGTTTGAAACATATTA